TTGGAGAAAGTTGCCATCAGTGCCGATAATTATAATTGCAAACACAATAACGGCAAGCTGGCCAAATGCGTGACAATAACGATTCTTGAAGCAAACTAGGTGAATAGAAAGAGACGTGATGTTTCACCGGAAACGCCTTCCGGCCTTTTGCGCGGATTGATCTTCTAGATTCTATCATTAACTGGCTATTAAAAGTTTCTCCAGAAATCTTTTTGACCGATTCAAACAAAAAGTTCTAAAATGTTCTTAAGCTAGTGTGAGGTCCAAATCCCACTTGACTTTATTTCTATATACCACACTACACACTTTATTGTTAAAAATCAGTAACTATATATAGGTTTGTGAACAATGCATTTGATATGCTAATGTCCGAGTTAAAAGAAATTCCCCAGACAGAATAGGGAGAAAACCCAGAAGGAAAGAAACAGAATAGAGAAAGTTACATATGGGGAAAATCCCAGAACAGAGAGAATAACGCGCAAAAGTATGCATGTTTATAAGAAGAATAGGAGAAGTGATGATATGATCTAACCGAAGGTGAAGATCATAACACCTCCCCCCTACAACAAAGATGCGCGCCCCGCGCATCGAAAAATTAGAAAGAGAAAAAAACCAGTACAAAATGGACGAAATAGATAGAGAGATCACGTTAACAAATTTAAGGATCTGAGAATACAAAAAAACCAACCAAAAAAAAGAAGAAAACAAATAGTAATGGTTCGCGTTATTGAACGACAGATGATTGTTGTCGGAGCGAACCATGCGAGACTAAACTTTTGTTGCCACCCCACAAGCTTGTCTTCCAATTGATACTTGACCTTTGAGGACAGGTGCTGAGAGTCGCTTGTCAAGCCAATGTCAAATGAGCAGTCGAGTTGTCACCAAATGACTATATCTCAGGCCGTGTGCGTCCAAAGACTAGCCGATAATACTGGCTACGATGAGATGCGCCCGAGTTGCCACATCTCGAGCCCATCAACGCCACACGTCTCTTCTTTTTCATTGCCTCTTGATTTGCCATGTCGACGATCGATGTCTCCCGCCCGTATTGGTCTCCCGAGGTGAAGATCAATGTGGGGTAGCGACATCCACGTAACGCTAGTGGCTGGTGTTCTGGGCCGGGACGCGACACTGACGGATTGACCAATGGACGTTCGACAGAGATCAGACGATGGAGACAAACTTCGGAGCCAAATGAAACGGTTCGTCGCCGGGACCGTACCGGATCGTGATGGAGAAGACGACCGGCCGGCTGGTGCACCAATTGTGACGTCCAAATCCCACTTGACTTTATTTCTATATACCACACTACACACTTTATTGTTAAAAATCAGCAACTATATATAGGTTTGTGAACAATGCATTTGATATGCTAATGTCCGAGTTAAAAGAAATTCCCCAGACAGAATAGGGAGAAAACCCAGAAGGAAAGAAACAGAATAGAGAAAGTTACATATGGGGAAAATCCCAGAACAGAGAGAATAACGCGCAAAAGTATGCATGTTTATAAGAAGAATAGGAGAAGTGATGATATGATCTAACCGAAGGTGAAGATCATAACAGCTAGGCTTTGAAAATCTCCGGATCTATGTTTTGAACAAAAAATCATCGTCACAACTCAAACTTCGTGTTTTGAATCAAATTTCAATTTTGAAATTGGCAATCTCTGTGTGAATCTGTGTGACAGTGAACTATTTTTCAGGTGGTTTTCAGTTAAATTTGTACAATGGTACAGCTAGAGCACTGGAAGTGCTTCCAGCTCTGTATCGTGGCTCATTACGCCGCATCTTTTCAAAAAAATGTAAGTTCCATCACCTAATCGAAATTTTCTAAGCTGACTTCGTTTCTGAACGACATCCGTTGAGTGTCGTGAGTGCGTCAGGTTTAGTCAGATCTTGAATCTGATACAAACGTTTAGCAAGTGTTCTTCTGCTCATATCACAAACATAACATTAGCACATTGATGCATAAATATTTCTAGATCTTACAATCATCTTCTGAAAAACAGTACAAAAAACCGTTTGTCTCTTCGAGTTTTCAAGCGCTCTTTCGAGAACGGAAATCGGAGCTTTCTGAGCACTGTTACAAGACTCTGCTTCCAACATCGGCCCTTCTCTCTAAAAAAAAATGATATATTACGAAACTTAAAAGGGTATAGAGAATTGCAACTATTTCTGTAGCCTTTTAAGTTTCGTACGAACCTAGGTTTCGGCGTTCAGCTACGAAACCTCTATTTTTTTATTGGCAAAAAAGGTTTCGTATTAAACCCTAGCAAAAGAGGTGTTGTACAAACTTGATGATCATATTTCGGCTACTTCTTAATTTCCTCAATCAGAGCTTTTGTAATTATGATTCTTAGCTAGCCGATTTTATGTAGTTTTGTAAAGCTCTCCCTTGCGGACTGTATATCGATAGTAACTGCAAGTATATTACACACAGATTTTTCCATTTAATCTCTACAATTCATGCAGAAAAATTCAATATTTAATTGGAATTATTTATGCGAAATTGATACGTGTATTTTCTTAGGCTTCAATGGACGTGGTACAGGAGCTGGACAAGTCAAGTCAGACTTGAGTTGAGAAAAGGTTTTACCGATCTTTTGACCGACTACTAATTTTGTCTGTCTCTTAAGTCATTTTAAAAGTGCATTCTTTTAATGCAGAGAAATGATATTAAAGATCTAAGTGGAGTCGTTTTCCACGCAGAGCTGGGCAAGTCAAGACAAAAACTCCTCTATTCCAAGTCAAGTCAGACTTGACTGACTTGAAGAATCTTTTCGTTGGCTGAGACTTGCAAAAAATCCTGACTTGCCCAGCTCTGCGTGGTACACAAGCAGGGAAAAAACGAGCTTCGAATAAATGATAAATATATGAAAAGAGAGTGAATGAATACAACACACAATGAGAGAGAGAAAAATTATGGTTGGAAGAGAGTGGAAGTGATTAGCTAGTGGAATAATAGGTCATATTTCGCTACACATTCGGAGTCATTGTGCTCAGTTGTGGATCAGATTTAGATCAGTTGTAAATAAAAAAGAAGCAACTCTATTTCTTTTTTCTACACTCAGTTTGTTATACTAATCTAACAATTCAGTTTGGGAACTTGCCAGCTTGGCTATCTAACCGAATCTAACCCAATACTCTCAGTTGATAGAGCCAACCAACTAGACATCAAGTAGCCCATCATACTAAATTCTTATTCACATGTGACGAGTGAATTATGAGAGATCAGCAAATGATAAAACTTGAAGTATTATTAAACTTCAAGTTGCTTGCCTCAAGTGCTTTATTATGTTTGTTAAACATAATCAAGCAAGTACACTCAGCTATGCAAAAAAGACACAGGGCTTTCCCAAAGAAGATGTTCCTCAATCCTTAACCGTTATTGAACTTTTTTAGATCGTGTGAACATTTCTAAACTTGGTTTAACTGACCGAGGAAGGAATAGTACGGGAAGACAGTAGATTTAACTTTCCCCGATGAAGTAGGCTATTGTTCATGCAAAAAGCAAAGAAATAAAATAGTCATCTTTCACATTCTATCATTTATTGGTTTCTGTATTAGTCCAATCATAGCAGAGAAAAATAGCTCCATCTAATGGTATTCACATAAATCGCGTGTTTCAAACAGACAACGTCTTTTCGATAACTATCTTAAGACTAATAAATATCTGCTACTAATTGTTTATTGGTTTTTTAACATATTCTTCTTTCATCTGAGAAGCGTTTAATGCGATACGAAACTCGTAAGGTTTTGTGAAATTTCTACTAAACCTTTAATGCTATGAAACCACTTCGCCGGTTTCATATACTCTGTACAAAACCTTGTAGAACAATATTTTGTTCTGAGGTTTCGTACCGTCTAACAAACCCTTTGAATTTCGAAATTTCACTACAAAACCATTAAAAGTTTCGAAAAAATACACGAAACCTTAATGATTTAGTATGGAGCCTTTTTTTATAGAGTAGAGGGGAACGGAGCTGTAAAAACGACTACAAAGTCAATTTCTTACGAGAAGCTTCTCGTCACACTCAAGTTTTAAAAAACTCACGCATAACAATTGCGATAATAAACGGCAAGGAGCACC